CCTCATTCTTCTCTGAGGGTGTGGAAGGGGCTTCTTTTGTGCTCTGCTATGCAAAGAATTTCCTTTGTGATTCCTGGTGCTTTGATCCTGTAAAGAATGGAGGGGTGGGGGGTGGGGCAACGGGCCTTCGAAGGCTCCTAACCCCGAGTTCCCATCTGGGCTCTGCCACTGCAGGTGGGGACCTCAGATGTGTCTTGTCCTTGGGAGACAGCAGGACCTTGCTACAGGGAAGCGACTGAGGCCACTGGGTTATGAAGACGCTGACTCCATTGTATGCAGGTGTCAGGGGTGAGGGGGCGCGTGCCAGAGCCTGGCAGGGCACGGGAAGCGTGGGGAAAGGCGGGAGACCCCACATTCAAACACACTCAGAGGGCACTGGGTACGGAGCTGGGGGGTTGGGAAGGCCATGGGCCCTCCTGGGGCTTCCAGTTTGGGAGCTTGAGTGAAGGATGAACAAATAACTGAATTATGAGCCACAGAAAGAGAGAGATTTGGAGGAAAAGGGTAAAGTTCTGTTTGAGACATGAAGTGTGAGAAGTCTGGCACATTGTTAGAAATATGGACCTGCCCGGCCGGCATGCTCAGTGGTGGAGCATCAACCTATGAACCAGGAGGTCACGGTTCGATTCCTGGTCAGGGCACATGCCCAGGTTGCAGGCTTGATCCTCCGTGTGGGACATGCAGGAGACAGCAATCAATGATTCTCTCTCATCGTTGGTGTTTCTCTCTCTCCCTCTTCCTTCCTCTTTGAAATCAATAAAAATATATTAAAAAAAAAAGAAATACGGATCTGACTGTTAGGAAAGAAGTCGGATCTGTCAAGGCTGGGCCAGGAGTCCCCAGGGCCTGGAGCGTGTTTGCAGGAGACGTTTTCTGTCAGGGGCCAGATAGCAACTGTGAGCCATACAGCCTCCACGGCAGCTGGTTCCCTCTCAGTGCAGCCGGGACCCAGCCACAGTAATATGTAAATGAAGGGACCCAGCCACAGCAATATGTAAATGAAGGGACCCAGCCACAGCAATATGTAAATGAAGGGGTCCAGCCACAGCAATATGTAAATGAAGGGGTTGTCTGTTCCAATAAAGCTTTGTCTACAAAACCAGGCTAAGGCCGAGTCTGCTCCCTCCTCTGCTGCCTGGATTCTGATATCCAGGTCTCCCTTAGAAACCACGCATTGACAATGGCACAGCCTCGATCTGAGTCCCTGAAGACTGTAAGAAACAGAGGTCCCTAGTTCCTCGCCCCCGTCCCACATCCTGCCTTTGAGAGGAGAACACACACACACACACACACACACACAAACTTCCAGTGTGTTTCGAAATAAAATTTGGGAGTTTATCTCTTTTAGATGTCAGTGTTACTTAAATGAAAACAAATTGATACTAGGAGTGGGGTGTTACCATAATGAAAATCTAAAATGTATGGTATTCGTTTGCAGCAAGGGGGCAGGTGGCGAGAAAGCCATTGTGATCAAGGGGGCAGGGCCATGTGACCAACCAGTAAACAAGGAGGCGGGGCCACGTGACCAACCAGTAAACAAGGAGGCGGGGCCACGTGACCAACCAGTAAACAAGGAGGCGGGCCACGTGATCAAGCAGTAAACAAGGAGGCGGGGCCACATAATCAAGCAGAAGTGGGCACGTGAACAAGGGTAGGTGTAAACCCACCTTCAGGCCTTAAAACCAGCGGGCGGGCGCTGTGTCTTGAAAAAGATGAGCAGCAACCAGGAGGGCCCACCCCTGCCTCACTTCAGTGTGGCCTGGGAGCAAGGTTGCAGGAAGGACCCTGGAGGATGGAGCCGGGAGCCACGCAGGACAGGATGGTGCAATTCCCGGAGAGAGAA